ACCTCGCCATAGATCTGTGCTTGACTCCGGCTCGTCTTCTTTTGGGATTCTCCTGTTTTACACCTTCCGTTATTACCTCAGTCGTGACCAGTGAGGAGCACCGCCTCGGTTTTCCGGGCCGGTCTGACATATCACCACGTGACCTGTGGCTTGAAATTCAGTATCTAACCGAGGGAACTGAGAGAAACCGCTACATTTACTCCTCAGACGTTTCAAGTCCATTTGATTACCTCGGTCAGAGACCATCGCGCTACTTTTGTGGACTTTCAAACCAATATTTTGCACCTGATTTAGGGTGACGGGAGCATAAGAATTGTTTCAAATGTTCACAGCAGCCATATCACCCTGCAACTCACAACTGGTAACCCACTGAAGCTCAACAGGTGTGAGCCTGGTCAGCACCTGGATGGGAGACCTCCTGGGAAAAACTAAGGTTGCTGCTGGAAGAGGTGTTAGTGGGGCCAGAAGGGGGCGCTCACCCTGCAGTCCATGTGGGTCCTAATGCCCCAGTATAGCGACGGGGACACTATACCTTAAACAGGCGCCGTCCTTCCGATGAGACGTAAAACTGAGATCCTGACTCTCTGTGGTCATTAAAAATCCCAGGGCGTTTCTCGAAAAGAGTAGGGGTGTAACCCCGGCGTCCTGGCCACATTTCCCATTGGCTCTTACCAATCATGGCCTCCTAATAATCCCCCTCTATGAATTGGCTACATTACTCTGCTCTCCTCCCCACTGATAGCTGGTGTGTGGGGAGCGTTCTGGCGCACTATGGCAGCCGTAGCATCATCCAGGTGGATGCTGCACACTGGTGGTGGTGGAGGGGGTCCCCATTACCTGTAAAGCGCTTTGAGTGGAGTGTCCAGAAAAGCTCTATATAAGTGTAAGCAATTATTATTATTATTAATTATTATTTAGTCACCAATGTCTCTCTGAAATCTTTCTAGTGCATCTTACAATTTTAACATATCCCTCGATGTCAATTCTGTGCATTTAGCTACATATCCTAACCTTGTCTGTGCCTTTTTCATAAGTAGCCTTTTCTCTCCCGTTTTGTTTTGTTCTTACTGCACACAGCACGTTTTTACTGCCTTGTGTGCACAGCCCTGGGCTTGTCTCATATGTCTCATTTTCTGCCAGGTGTTGGCCTGGAATCTCGTCTAAAGAATCTTGACTTGTCTGATTTTGTCCAAATCTTTTGGAATCAAATTTGCTTCTTCTGCTGTGTCTACTTATACTCCAGTTTTGGCACCATCCGCGAACTTGACCTTTATACAGTACGACTACCAGAATCGAAATCCTTGACATAAACTAAGACAAACAGTGGAACGAATACAGATCTCTGTGGCACTGAACTGGTACAGTTCAGCACCACGAACAAATCTGCTCATATGAGAATCGAAACTGGATGTTCTGCAGAACGGGCCGGGGACTCGACTCGGATAAGACCCAATGACCTAAGAATGTCTTTTTTTAAGTTTTGGGTATGTTTTGGTATTTGTGCATGTTGAGTATTTTTTAAAAGGTTTGGAATAGAACTGTGAACAAAATAAATGTGTGATTCGGTGATTTACGACACAGACGTTTTCAGCCCTGGGTATTTAATTCCGACACACGTCCAGAGAAAGAAGAAAGAAGAGTTGAGATTGAGATTGAGTGGGCTATGAGTTTGACAGACAGATGGAAGCCGGTGAAGCGATGTTAAAAAGATTGTAGCTCATTGCTAGAGCAGCTGAGGAAACCGGCACAGTCATCAGGGAGAAAGCGATAAAAACGAAATGAAGCTTTCTTCTACATGCCCCGAAAAGACTCGTGGCAGATATAGCAAAGCCCCATCCTGGAACTCACAGCAGCACTGCGGACAAGGTGGTGGGAAGAAGCGATCGGGACTGAAACTAATTTGGCCGGTCAGATAAGGGTGTGAGACAGAAGATCCAGCAGTGCACGCTTGTGAATTTGTGAGCTGTGTGAGACTGGCATCACAGGGAAAGAGCATGATCAGAAAAAATGCTTTTCAAGTCTCTCTTATGTGTGAAGGAAATACCCTCAACAAGTGGTGTCATTAAACTGTGGAGGAAAGCAGAGGAGAGAGTAGTTGGACAGTCACAGACGTGATCAGGCATGCTGATGTGCAGATTGACGGATGCACACACATATGCATATGTATATCTATTTAAATTACTTAAGCACTAAATACTTCAATTATAAGTGTTGTGGTTACTTTGGATGCATTGTAAATTCTGTATGGTTACAAAAATTGTTGATGGGTGTTCAAATACCCTGTAAAAGCAGATTACTCCAAAACTTGCCTGGATTAAGTGTTTGGCCACTCATTGATGTATTTAGCAGTCTAGGAGGAACAATTTCTCTTTCCACAAAACTGGCCAACTCAGACATTATTCAGAAGACTTGGCCAGAATAGCATTAAAAGATCTCGTTCAGCTTTAGTAGCTGCAAATCTGACATCAGTGAATACATAAAATTGTGCCTTATCATGTGGCAAATCATTTGAATGACACCACAATAACAGGGCTTGCTGTCTCACGTTTCAGGAACTTTAATGTGTTCTCTTTAGAGGTAAGAGTTGGAGTAAAATTATTAGAAGAGGCTCCTTTGCTTTATTACTTAGAATAGGAATGTGATTTCTCACCTCCATTTAGAATGTGAAGTGAGGTTACATGTATTCTGTAGCATGCCATTGTGTACTATACATTAGATTACTGAAGACATACAGGTACCGTCGCCTTATAAATTCAATATAATGAAAACAATGTTTATATTATCAATTAACTTTGTGGGTTTTACTTTCATTTTATAACATTTTTTGCATGTCTCAAATATACACCTAGGCAGCATGTTGTAGATTGAGCTCATATAGTACAGTATGTATCAGAGTTGCTCTATGTGAAACATTTGTTCTTTTTTGTACTGCATCTCATTGAAACGTTCAGTTTACTAAGCAAAACATAATTAACATCAGGTTTGACATATCACATGAGCCAAGATTATAATTTAAGCTGAAAACCACTTGTCATTACAAATGTGTTTCAATTGTGTGTTTTAAACAGTGAAAGTCTTTTTTCAGCTATGAGCTACAGTATATGCAACAGTCCTGCTTACCGTTTGCTACGGTCTGAACTGCAAACTTTTGACTTTTTGGATACATTGCATATATGCATATATTAGAAGGAAAAAAATGCTTCTACAGTATTTTTTAATTCAAAATGAAAAAATAGAAAAATAAGAATTATTTGACATTTTTTTTCATCTCGTAAACATGCACAAATTTCGTAACTTTCTCATGCTTTTATTTTTTTTAAATCTGGATATCATAAAGACAGTACTGTTTCCTGCTACCTGCAGTGAGACTAACAATTCCCAGGAGTGAAGCCAGATCCCAAAGCCTGTGTGTGAAATTGTGTGTATGAGCTTCATGACTTCATGCCTAGGGAGGAGACTTGCACAAGCAGGGGTTTGGAGATGATACAGTGTCTCCTGCCAGGCAGCATCTCAGTCCGAGATTAGAAAAAGATGTGATGTTTGTCCTAAATTCTCCCTCCCACTGGGTGTAATTGTGCAGACAAGACAACGAGACAGTTTCCATGTTCCAGGGGGTCACATTTTCGAACCGAAAGAAGTAATTCATAAATTCTTCTTTCATAAATAATGTTACCCAAGACAGGAGTGGAGACACGTTTTTTCTATTGATGAACATAAGTAGGATTACAAATGAAAATACTGTAGGCTATGGGTAACTAATTGGTTTGAGGATCTCATCTTGCCATTTCTTCAAGCTGGGTAGCTTTTTCCACACTCCCTCAACCACTTGCATGAAGAAGCGCAGGGCCTTGCAGAAGTATAGTATTCACAGGACACCTTCCCATGCTGTCCCATTTTGTGGAATTACTAATAGAACACACATCTGTGAAACCTAATATTCTATTCAAAACGTGAACGCTCTGACTTGGAGCCCTTTTTGCCTATTTTTTGGCAGATTTGGTCGAGCTCTTTCAGCTTCAGGATCACGGAAGGACAGTAGTTTTCAAGTCTTTCCAGCAGTTTCAAATCACAGAAACTAAGGCCGGTACTTTGTCTGGGCCACTCAAAGACACTCACTTTTCGCATTCTTAAGTCACTCTTTGACTTTGATTTTTGGATCATTATCCTGCTGAAAGGTACATTTTGTGCCCCGGTTTAAAAGGTCTAAACTTTAAATGGTTTGAATAGTTTATAACTTTAGTGTTTGCCTGTACTTTGCTCCATCCATTTTTGCTTCAGTCCAAACGAGATTTCCAGAGGACGATTTCCTGCTGAGGAGAGTCATTTCCATAGTCTGATGCTGCCAACACCATGCTTGAATGTAAAAATGATACAGACTAGATACAGTCGGTTGTGTTGTGTCGGGTCCGTGACACAGGTCACAATTGGCTTCTGGACCAAAATGTTCCAATTTGGTCTCATTAGACCAAAACAGCTTTTACCACATTTTTGCAGAATTATTCAGCTGCTGTGTTCCAAGCCCCTGTGGGATATGAGATTGTTTTTGACTTCTGTCATACAGGCCGGCTTTGAGAAGTGACCAGGATGGTGTTGACTGGTGCAGTTTTCTCCCATCTCTGCTTTGTGCTTTGTAGTGGCATGGCCTCTCTGGTTTCCTGCTTGCCCAGCTGCTCAGTGTGCTAGATGGTCTAAACGCTGTCTGGGTGCTTTTTACTTCTTATTGATTTCACTGTGCTCCAAGAGATATTAATATTCTTTGAGTGTTGATGTCCTTCTCCTGATCTGCGCTTTTATACATCTTTATTCTGGAGTCGTTTTGAAAGCTTCGTGGGCTTTATGAAACATTTAAAACTATAGTCTGCATGAAACACTTGAAAAACACGAGAATGCATCTACTAGTACGACGTGTTAATACGTTTTGTTTTTGGAAACTGCATCAAACCTGCAGTGGCCTGCTCCTTTGCTGTCTCTTACGCTCGTGTCTCTGTGCTGTGCTGCAGGCAGGGTCTTCATCGTGGAGTCCAAGAGTGGCTCTGAAGGGCTGGACGCAGAGGCAGCACAGAGGGCCTGTGACTCGGAAGGTGGGCGTCTGGCGTCTGTGGAGGACCTGAGGCAGGCTGTGGCTGAGTGCTCTTTCACTGCCTGTACGCGGGGTTGGCTGGCCGGCCCCACCATTGGGTAAGACCACCCTCTCTACGACGGATCTCACACCGAAAAACACCCACAATCCTTTTCCAGGGCCAGGCAAGCACACGATAAACTCCCAAGGATCTCCATTCCAGGAAAACTGAAAGGGTCTGTAGGTAACGCAGAAGGTAGGCATTTTCTTATCCATGCCGGTCAGAACTTTAAGAGAGACGTGTGAACAAGACAAAAGAATAACCTTCTTGAGAAACACGATTCTCTCATTACAGATGAATTTTCCAACCTTACAGAAATCCCTCAGTTCAGGATGCATTCCGAGCCCGTCATTTGACACGAATCAGTTCCTTGTCACGCAATTTTGTGTGGTTCTTTTTTACAGAAAACCACAGAAAATAGGGCCAAAATTGATAACTGGGTATGACTTATGGACAAAAAAAAATCGTAATTTTATAAGAAAAAGAAAAAAAAAACATTTCCATTTTCTCCAGAACTATAAATCTCATGCTGAGGTGACAACAAGACAAATCGTTCCATTTGCACCTCTCCTCTCAGTAATAATTTGCTATGGGACAAATAGGTCTCAGTGTGGGCTCTGTAAAGACCATTCCCTTATAGATATGGAACTAAAGAAAGCAGAGAATGTCATGCATAGCTGCCAATACAGATGGAAAAAGGAGATTTTTAACAGCCTGTTAGAAACCATTTCAGGGATATTCAGCCTCTCGCCTGTTAGTGATCAGGAGCTTTTGCAATTCCTTATCTAATGCACTGCCACTCGTTTTTTTCACTCCTGCTCTCTATAATAACCGTTCTGCAATAAAATTGGCGTTTACATGTCAGGCTATCATTTCCTTAAGCTGAAGCTGTTTTTGTTACATTTCCACAATTGAGCATCATCCGTAGTGCAGGGCTCCATTCTGGGGTTAGGGTTTAGTGTGAGCCTGACTGCAGTGCCAAGTGTGGTGTAAGGGCTCTGTAACCTGCTCTGTAACCTGCTCTGTAAGGGCTTGTTTCTGAGGTGGCGCAGAACAAGCCATTGGTGAAACAACAACATGGCAAAGATACTGTGTCCTTTTCCTAATGAAAAGGTTCAGGAGCCTATCTCACACGTCGTGGGATTTAAGAGGGTAATGGGAAGCCGGTTCACTGGAAAATGTCTAGTGTACTGTAAGTTGTGAAAGTGGGTCCCAAGCAGGAAAATTAAAAGCTAGAAACTGAGACCCTCACGGTGTCATATGTGGGGTTTGTCCTGTATTACAGACTGACTTCTGTTTGTATTACACTGTATTACAGACTAACTTCAGTTTGTTCGATCGCCCAAGTCCTGCTAGTTGTTTTCAGCTGGAAAGTGCCCTCTTAAACAGGAGCTGTAATGGGTGACCTCTGCTGGCGTGATGTGTGTCACACACAAGAAAAAGAGTTCTTGAGAAATTGTCGTTGAAAAAATTCAGGTGGTTGTTTCAGACCTTCCCCAGACAGGATCCAGAGCAGTTTCATCCCACCAAGACAGCCACCTGAGCCACCTTTTTTGTTGTTGTTTGCCTTCTTTCCTCCAGGGTTAGAAACAAATACCTTGTTGCGAGTCATTAGTGTTTCGTCACAGAACAAGCCCACCACTTCGCACCTTCTGAAAGACTCGAAATGTGAATTAAACTGCAGCATTGCTCGAAAAGGTTTGAGCCTTTCGAAGATTATTTTACGTTTATTATTATATTATTATAAGTCAGTGAAAGGGGAAATATCGCTGTCAAAGATTGAACAGATAACAGGAAACTCGAAATAAATCTTCCTAGAAACTAAAATTCTTCCGCCCTCCTTCAGTTCTGCCCCATTAGCTCCACATTGCTACCTTAATGACAAGCTTGTGCTAATGGCACCTCAGTGCTAACTGGGACAGTCAGCAAATCCTTCCTGTAAATAAAGTCGTTAAATTGGATTGGAGGAGGAAAAAAAGAGATTACATTCCTTCTCAACTTCTGAGTACTGAAAAAAAGATTGGGAGAGAGGCGACTGTCAGTTTAATGACAAAAAACCAGCTGGAAGGGTGTGTACGCGGTGTTATTTTTTTAAAGACCCTGGGTATATTTCACAATGAGAACTAATGTTGACTTGTGGCACTGACAGTGGGTCTTGGGGAAACTCCATTCACACCTTTTCTGCTGTATCAGGAAAAAAAGGTCATATCTCCTCCTTTAGGGAACCTGGGTGACTGAAAGGAGAAAGTATGCTTAAGAATTAATTTTAATTTGACCCCAGTGATTTCTCTTATGCAGTCGAAGTTATCAAGTGCACATTCTGCAAGCATAAGATAAACACCATCCGAACCAAGGGGCCTTCAAGTTGGTGTACTCCAGGGTTAGGGTTAAATCATAAACTGCGAACGATGTAGCAACTTTTTACCTGGTTAAAGTATGCAATCAGCTCCGTTAAGTCATTAATATCTTAGCTGGGAAAACGCCGGAAGAAAAAGATGAAGGCAGGAAAATTTTTTATCTCAAAGTCAACAACAGTTTCTCTTCTATTGTTGTGTGCCTCTTCTGAACTATGACCACCAGACTTTTTAAAGATATTGTGGTCTTTCCTGATTAACTGGTGATTTGTCTCACCAGTTTGGGATTTCTCTTTCTGTGTCTCTCTACCAAATCCAAGTGCATGTGGAAGAGGAGGACTGAGCAAGGGCTTCTCAGAGTAGCCTTGATTACTCCTGGTCACCACTAGGTATCTGTGCAGAAAGAGGTACTTTGAAACCAGCAGGAGATGCTCGCCTGTGTTTCCATGATCCCGAAGGCCAGTGCAGTAGTTCTCATGAATTCATCACAATAAAGGTCAATATAGAGCCACACATGTTAATGTTGTCTTCCCAACTCATTCAATGTACATGTATCACGAAAATAGTGAGACACGTGCAGAATGCAGAGCTTAGGTATAGAACAGCACTAAACAACAGTAAGTATCAACATTAAACTCATTTTTGAGCAGATGAACCTGCTTGCCTCAGCTCTGGTTAAGTCTAGAGAAGGAAACTAGATGTTATTTAATTAGGCTTCATACACAGGAGAGGAAAAGACAAATTTAGACGACAGAAGACTGTATGTTCCCTGTGTGTGCCATGAATTAATGTTCTGTCACAAGACACACTAAAAAATCCCAGATTATTAACTTAACACATAAATAAAAGCACAGCGGCAAACAATAAGCATACTGTACCAATACTGAATCTTAAAGGTCATGCTAAAAAGAGCAGTTAACAGAATACTGAGACATTTATTCTTACAAATGTCAATGAAGACCAATGAGGTGGCTGAGCTAAATTGATTTTCTGGTAGAATGTTTTTTTTAATGAAAAGTGTGTTCGACTGTATTTTGTGTTTGCTTGCTTGAGGATAGTAAAGGGGCTGGCGCTGAATTTCCAAGTATGTTACTGAGTTAATTACGTCACACAGGCTATCACTGAAGCACTACAAGGGGAAAAGTACCTTTAAATGTTTCGAGTGAGTTTGAAGGTTTATTCACATGAACCATAAACAATACATCTACATATGCATTCACTTTTTATCTTATGTTTATGTTTGCTGTAAAAATAATCAGATGGGTAACTCTGCAAACTTCATCCCCTTGCGGAAGTGTGATCATGTGAGTGATATCGTCCCTGATATTCAGTAAAAGGTGAACAGTGTAACAGGTCATTTAGGTGCCAGATCTTGCCTATCTCATTAGCTGTGTTGTTTCTTTTATTCACCTGCTGTAATTCCCCTTATTGAACGTTACTCTGTCGTGTTTCAAGCACGTATCACTTGTGTATCTCTCCCTGATGTTGACATGTTTTCCTACAGTGACACTATGAAGCTTGTAACGGTTATAAATTCAGAAATATTGCGGAGAACTGCTGTGCCTTCGGTTCGGACCTCTCTTGTCTTCATTTTCTTGCTGTCCTTACAGTAGGAAACTAGGGCACAACCTGAAACGATTCAATTGAGCCTGAATATAAAGACTGAGATGAGGCCATCAATCTCTTCAACAGCATGAGAGGCTTTGTCGTCTTAGTGTTTAATAGATAAATTCTGCCGAAAGAAATAATGGAGATAAAAAAATGGAGCTACTTCTCCACAGAGGCCCAAGCAATTATCATCGTAATCTGTACTTGATGCTCACAGTGGGACAGAGAAGCAACTAGACAGCTCCTCACAGGGCAGAATGATGTAGGGTCTCAGCAAACTCACGAAACCCATTTAAGTAGCCAAGAAGACCAGTCCTGCATACATTAAAGGGCCAGAAGGAAGCTGGTAGGTCCTAGAGAAAACCCACATGAACCATGGGAAGACACGCAGGCTTCACACAGACAGGTGCACATGCAACCAGGGACCCCGGAGCTGTGAGGCAGCTGTGTTAAGCACAACACCACTGTGCTGCCCCCTACGGGTCGAGCAGTATACTTCCCCATGCTGTGACTGGCACAGCCCATCTTAGCAATTCAAATAAAAGTTTAACGTAAATAGAAAATCCATCAATCAAATAAATCAACAGCCTCACTAAAAAGTGCTTTGTTGGGCTAAAAGCAAGTCTAAGTGCTAATAACATGTAGTGCCCTCTGTAAAAGATATGATTTTAGTTGTGCTACACATTCTACGAGGCATTAAAAACGCAACTGATATATTCATTCCAGTTAAGTTAAATAAGTGGTAGGATGTTGAATAGTTCTAAGGAGTGTCGAGCTGCTTGAGAGGAAGTATGGGCAATGGGTCAGTCATCGGCCTCTGGGGTCCGATGACGTACGTCCTCAAGACGTGGGTTTTCAGTTTCTACCTGAAGACACTGAGCGAGTCCACCGTCCTGACTGTGGCAGGTGGATCCTGCCACCACTAGGGGGCAGCACAGAAAACAGCGCCTGAGACCTGCCGCCCCTCAGTGTTGAC